ATTGATTGGTTATAGATTTCTCGAAACTAGAACTTGGTCCAAGTTCTAGCATCGTGGACACAGGCCTTTAGTGACCTTCCCCCACCACTGGAGTCTCCAGACCTGCGTACGACCATGGTTCCACCAATCAAAAACGCGCCCACGTGCTCAAGGAACATAACCTTTAATAATCTCGTGTTTCACGTGTATTCGTGCGTTGTCTTCTTGTTCAGCATTAAAATTGTGCCTGGATTATTCTGGTTGTACAAGTTTTATATTTGAACATCGGCTCTACGCCGCGATCACCACAAACATGTCCCGTTTAATAGTGAAAAATTTACCAAAAAGTGTACGTGCAATGAAATAATCTCATATCATTTTATTTAACATAATATACAACATGTATATATATGTATTATATATTCTTTACAGGTCACAGATGCCAGATTGAAAGAATTATTCAGTCAAAAGGGTATTGTGACTGATGTACAACTGAAGTACACGAAAGATGGAAAGTTTCGACGATTTGCATTCATCGGCTACAAAACGGAGGAACAAGCGCAACTAGCGCAATCCTATTTTGATCAAACATGCATCGATACTTGTAAAATATCTGTTGAGCCCTGTGCAAACTTAGGTATGTATAACTATAAATAATAATAATCATAAAGCATGTTATGTTATCAAAATCTAGCAGTTTTATAAACGTCATTTTGTGTGTGATATTTTAGGTGATCCCTCAAAGCCAAGATCGTGGAGCAAGTATGCAATCGATAGTTCTTATAATAAAGCTAAGACATCTGACAGCAAGTCAGAGGAAGAAAGACCGACAGATTCGGCAGGAAAGAACGATACAGGGGAAACTAAGAAGAAAAGCGACACGAAGAAGAAAAAGGCGAATAAAAAGGAGAAGGATGAAATGAAGAAAGCACTCGAGAAGGTATATTAAAATCTTTTCTAGTCTTTTTAATCATTAAATTTTTGTATTCTTTCTATTGAGAGAAAATTGTTTATGAAATTATCTTCAATTGTGTTGGATTTAGCACAAGGATGATCCTTTATTTATGGAGTTCCTTGAAACACACACTAGTAAGGATGCAAAGGCAGTTTGGAAGAACGACATTGATGTGCCATTGAAAGAGGAAGCCACCGAGGGATCTGATGACGAGTCTGCGGATGAGGAAGATGAATCTAAGAAAGATGCAGGTGAGGGAAAAGAAAAGATACTGTCTTGTTGCCTTTCTACTTTTTATAAAGTATGTTTTATTAAGCAACGTTGATCTTGTTTAAATATTGAATGCCATCTTTTACAGTAAAATAAGTTTTATTAAAACCGAAGCGTAAACGACTGAGGGCATTATGTTGTACAGATTGGCATTACTGGGCATTACTAGGCATTTTTGGGGGCATTAGGCCTCGCTAGGGCATTATAAAGATAAAGTAATGCCCAGTGGGTATTAGTAGGCATTGGTGTACATGATTATAGCCAGCGGTTTACCCCTCGATTAAAACTTTCCCATCCATGAAATTGATTTAAATCTGTAGAACTCCGAATGGATTTAAGGGCCATTGTAATCACAAGATTTTTTTATGAAAGAATCTAAGAATTCTGATTAACGTTACACTTCAGTCGTAATGGCTTCCGGATGGTTGCCGCGTCCGTTTGCAGTGCGGTGCCGACGTTTCGCAAACATTGCATAATGTTATACTATTTTTAAAATAAATTTTATCTTGGATAATGCAATTTACATTCGCTACGAAGTTAGAAGATAATTGGAGAAGATATAATATGTATGTACTATTCTAGAAAGAGTAACACTCTCAAGTGGAAAAGACGAACCTGAATGGTTACGTCAGAGTAAAATAAAGTCTCTAACGAAAGATGCATCCAAGTATGGTCCGTTAACGTTCTACACTGTGAAAGTGCGTGGACTTGCGTACACACACGTGAAGAAGCACATTAAACAATTATTCCGTCCCATAAAGCCGAAATCTATACGAGTCCCGCCCAAGATTAAAGGTATAGCTTATGTAGGGTTCAAAACGGAGCAAGCCATGAAGAAGGCTCTTATGAAAAATAAGAGTTTCCTAGGTAAAAACACAATTGAATATGATATAAAGTGCAATGTATGATATTTTATATACATTTTCAAATGTCTTCTTCATTTACGTAGATGGAAAACAGATATTTGTATCCAAATACGAGCGAAAAGAGGCAGTAGAGTCTAACACGAACTCGTGTAACAATACCAATATTAAGTGGAAGAAGCAACAGGAAGCCTTAAAAAACGAAGAGAGTATAGCAGAATCTGGAAAAATGTTTATCAGAAATCTGACGTATACAACTACGGAGGATGACATCAGAAAACTATTTGAAAAATTTGGTCCTCTGTCGGAAGTCGATTTACCTGTAGATAGAATGACTAGAAGGCTAAAAGGATTTGGCACAGTAACGTTCCTGATGCCGGAGCATGCTGTAAAAGCTTACAGTGAACTGGACGGTTCTGTACTGGATGGTAGAATGTTACACATCCTTCCCGGAAAGGCAAAAGCCTCCCCGGAGCAGATCGATACTGAAAATTTAACTTACAAAGAAAAGAAAGAACTGCAAACAAAGGCAACTGCGGGCTCGTCACATAATTGGAATACGCTGTTTCTCGGACAGAACGCCGTGGCAGACGCTATCGCGAGCCGCTACAACACGTCGAAGGAGAAGTTACTGGAAGACGGATCGAATGGAATGAGCGCCGCGGTCAAGCTGGCGTTAGGAGAAACCCAACTGGCTCAAGATACAAGGGCTTTTTTGGAGGAGAACGGCGTGTGCTTGGACGCTTTTAATGAAACGCCAAAGAAGAGATCAACCACCATAATCTTAGCGAAGAATTTACCAGCTCAGACAAAACCGAGCGAACTACGAGAAATGTTTGCCAAGCATGGAGAGCTCGCGCGTATCGTAATGCCACCGGCGGGTATAACAGCACTGATCGAATTTCTGGAGCCGTCTGAAGCCCGCAAGGCTTTCCGTGCATTAGCTTATACAAAATATAAGTATCTACCATTGTATCTGGAATGGGCGCCAGATAATAGTTTCACTACGCCCGCTAAGACTAAGTTAACTAAAAGTAATACGAGTACAAAAGAATCAGCAGATTCGGAAGAAGTTAAAGGTAAAGTAACGATAAGCAAATCTAAAGAAAATGAGAATAATACGCGTAAAAAGGAAGATGACGAACCGCCCGAACCAGATACAACGCTTTTTGTGAAGAATATAAATTTCTCAACTACGGAAGAACAGTTGAAAGATGTAAGTAGTTATTAAAAATTGTTATATTTGCGATCATTGTTGTTTCCTTTATTATAATATAACTTTACGCTTGCAGTACTTCGGTAAATGCGGTCCTCTCCATTATGTTACAATAGCAACAAAAAAGAATCCAGAAAATCCTGCTGAAAAATTATCCATGGGATATGGATTTATAAGGTTTAAAAGGAAACTCGACGCAGACCGTGCATTAAAAACGTTGCAAATGTCAGTACTCGATGGAAAGAGCATAGAATTGAAACGATCTGAGAGGACACTAATGTACGTTATTTTTTTTACCTATCTTGTCTTGGAAAAACAGAATTCTTTTTATAACTGTGAGACTTTCTAGGTCCGACGTTAAAACAACGAGAAAGAAGTCTAACATCACCGAACAAACGGGCACTAAAATTGTAGTACGAAATATACCCTTCCAAGCAACTGCCCAGGAAGTGACGGAATTGTTCAAGTACGTATATATCATATATATTTTTATCGAGATATTTTTACATGATCAAAACAATGCATTAAGTTGTTATAATTTTGCAGGTCATATGGTGAGTTGAAGGCCGTACGATTGCCAAAGAAACTGGTCGGAATTGAGAAGCATAGAGGATTCGCCTTCGTCGAATACTATACTAAAGCAGATGCAAAGGTAATAATTTCTTGTATCTGAAGAATTTAATTCAATTTGATTAATCTAACATAAAAAATTATAATACTTAAGAAGGATCAAGACTGAGGACTGCATTAGATTATTGTTGTACTGATTTTAATTTGCACTTTTACAGAAAGCATTTACAGCACTGTGTCAAAGTACTCACTTGTACGGTCGAAGATTAGTACTTGAGTGGGCACAGATGGAGGAAGATATTGAGGACATTAGGAAACGTACTGTAAAACGCTTTTACCAAGGTAATTAATTTTTTTATACCCACTATGCTATAACATAATAGCTTAATTCGTACTGATTGGTGTACAATACAATATAATAGAAAATCACATGATATTTTAATGGTTCTCTTTTATTTATTTTCAGATAATTCGACGAAAAGCTTTAAGAAATCCAAATTAGATCCCGAAAGCGTTGGTCTCGAATTAAATTCGGCTCAAAAATATAATTTCTAAATTATTTTCAAAATTATTCAAATACATGTTATTTAAAAAATAACTCGCAAATTATTTAATACACATTACATATTAAGGTAGGTAAGCAAGAAAGATTTCGAGTGCGGGCCTGGATAGCTCAGTCGGAAGAGCATTTGCCCGGCAAGGTTCGAATCCTGGTCTAGTCCTAGCAGTTATTTTTCTTGCCGAAAAATTAATAAGTGACGCGTCTTAAATATCCGTATACAATTTATATCAATTTCTTTTTACATTGACCAGATATTCAGGTTGGTCAATTGAAAGTTGAAAGTATTTTTATTACGCGACATTAATCTTCGTATCACGTTTAAATGGTAATCGAAGACACGACGGGAGTGCCACATTTTTATCACATCGCGTGATTTTACTTGAACGTTAATTTGAAATGTAGTAGAAAGAGTCGCAAATAATCATTAGTTATTATATTATTATACATATATACATAGAGTTATATATTTTATATATAAACGTGTAAAAAAAGTCTTGTTTCATCTTTGACATAAAGTTAACCCCGTTTCTCTCTTCATTTTTGTGTATATTTTAATTGTGCAAAAAATTTTGCAGATCTATAAAGCCAATTCAAATTATCTTTAGGGAAAACAATGTCAGTAATTACTATCACTTTAGAATCTCCTTAAATGTGACGTTTTTTCTTATTTTTCCAAGGAACAGATCTAGTTACCATTGATGCGATGTATTAAATAATGGTACTCAAAAAGTTCCCTGGTCTAAAGGCCTGTGTCCACGATTCTAGAAGTTGATCCAAGTTCTAGCATCGTGGACACAGGCCTTGAGTGCTTTTCAATTTACTTCGACAATCTTTTCAGATCTTTTCTTAACTTCACATTCCTGAAAACAAGAATCAGTCAAGTCTAAAGGAGATTGCAGAGATTTTAGCCAAGTTTTTCTGTCAAAATTGCTGAACAAAAAGAAATCCAGATTTTTCATCGTGTCAAATCAAATATAGATCGCAATATAATAATTAATAAATTTAGATTCAACGTATCTTTTAATACAATTCTTTAAAACCATTTTATATACATACGTACGTGCAACAGGATTTTGTCTTTATATTGTACGTATATAAAACATTTTTTATATAATATTTAAATCTCAATTATTACAGCTGTGTCTATACGTTGTTTCTTAGGGTATGTATAATAAATATAATATCGTGTATCATCAAACAAATAAATTTTTAGTTTATTGCCATTTTTTTAAGTATCATACAACAAACTTCAAAGATTTTACGAATTATTTATTTATTCATGAACTTAGCACGTTAACTTATCTGGAGAGGTATTTTTAATTTTTCAATTTTTATTATATACAATTTTTTGAAAAATATCTTAAGATAACTTAAATTCAACATACATACACGTATAGAGGAAAATCCTCTATTATGAGACAAGTTTCTGATACGAGATAGCAGGTTTTCAACACCCAAATTCAATCGCAAATCTTTTTACCCAACGATTATAGAATCTAACAATGAATTTTCCGCTAAACAGACTTCGCTCCAATGATAATAAATTCATAATAGAATCACTAAACGACGCCTGTTGATTTAACAGAAACCCCCGCTATCTCATATTAGGAGCCTATCTCATAACAGGGGACTTTCCTCTATATGTATTATAAGTCGTTTTATTCAAAATATTCTAATTATATAGATCGAGGACTTAAATAATAAATAATTATATATCCAAAGTTGCTCGTTCGACAGCAATGTTCGCACCTATAGGATGTAATTACATGTCCAGCGAACAGAAGCGAACCGGTACCGACGAAGACACGGCCGGCGAGGAAATGTCTTCCTTTCACCTCCACCACTGCGTCGCGCCGGGGATCTTGCATGGGCCCGGCATCACGAAGGACTGGAAACGCGCCTGGCGGTTCCGGTTGGTGGGGTCCAAACCATCGGTTGGTGGTGTGTCCCACGAAGGTGCTGGCGGTATGAGAGACGACCCATGAAAGTAACAGTGCGCCTTCCATCCACCTTCGCTGAGCTTGTAACGGCGCGATCGCTAGACAGACCGGGCCAGTCGTACGCTCATCGTCCTGGAGAACGGTGCTCGCGCCTGGTCCCGCAGGTACCAATAGCGCCGCGTTGTCCTTCAGTGTCGTCGTACAGATACAAGGTCGCGAGTGCAACGGCGATCGCAATTTCGCCGCTGTGGGCCCGTGCACTTTAAGCGGATGTATCTGACGCGCGATGTGTACAAGCTGAGGATCTCCTGACTGAAGACCGCAATTAAATCACCGGGGGATTAGACCAAGCGATTGACATGGACTGGGTAAGAGTCTCACCCCGGAATCGGAGAAGTCGAGCCGTTAAACAATTTCTTCGCGATCTCCCTACGTGACTGATACTCGGGGATCATTGAGATGTCTGATCTTTTGAAACAACAGGACGTTAGGGCGTCACCGCTACGGATACTCAATCACAATAACACTAATGTATTGAATGAACTGTACGAAGAAACAATTTTTAATTTTACGTTATTAGATTAGAAACTACTTCATTAATTCCACACGTCTGCAGAAAATTTATTCCGAAAGTACTTTGTGATTTCTCTGAAACCTGTTTAAATACCAGCCGAAATGTCACGTTAGGCGGTGAAAATGTTAAGATTGTACGGGAAGAAATTTTTCATTTTATTACTACAAATAGAAATAGAACGCAACGTGTGGCAATTTATTTTCTTTAATGAATTGTATTTGGAAAAGACTCGTTCTTTCGGAAAATAACGATCATAATTCTTTTTAAATGACTAACCAGACTGGAACTAAGTCACTGGGTGATGAGAACAAGAATTATACTTGGGCAGAGGAACTGGACTACGCCTTTGTCGCAATAAGTCGTTATAATCTTCCATTCTTGATCAATCGGTATTTGTTTATTGACAGCAACATTCTCGGCGAAGGCAGTGATATTTTTTGGCTTTCGATAGTTCTCGCGATCATCGAGAAAAAAACATACAGTTGTAAGAGCAATCCTCTCTTTCGCATCCACTGTTACGACCACAAAATCTCATTAATCTTCTCTAAAATTATCTTCAAATCGAACAAAAAATCTAGTAATAGAAAGAATGAAAGATTTCTTGTCTCATAATTTCGTCATGAAAATGTTGCTCTAAACGCTCCGGACTTCAAAAACCAGTCGTGTCTTTTTAACGGATTCCGAAAGGGGATAAATTTTACCTCGTCACCATTTTTTCGCGTAGATCTCGATTGGCGATATTTCGCGTGCTCGTTGCGTGATTTCTAGCGTTCGCTAGAATAGAATCTTGGAATGAAGTATTGTGGAAACTTCAAACACGACGCTGATGACGGATGCGCTCACGGAAAAGTAACACAAGGACTACGCCTAGGCGGGAAGTACGGACTTTCCTGCGCGAGATGTATGTTATCTGCGAATCAAACACGAACGGCGATGCCTGCGCCCAGCCGTTTCAAGATCCCGCGAGAAAATAATGTTTATTTGGAAACCACCGAGTCACCGCGAGCGAGGAACTCGCATTTCGCTTGAATCCGCGTAATTACCAGCTCGTTACCCGCGCGGATTCTTCCCGCAGTCCTTCTGTTCTGAGTGTGTTACCGGAACGCGCGCGATGGACCGATTTCCGAGCGAGCGATCGAAATTGCATCAACCGTTAATGAGAGATCGTGCCTGATACGCGATCGCGGTTCTGTCCCGCATTGATTCCACGCGCAATCCGTTTTGGTTGCGGCTCGATGAGGCGAGGTAAAAGTCGCGCGTCGGAGGCTGAGATCGAATTCCAGAGGGAAAGATCTACATTCGCGCGCGTTGGGTAACGCGCAGGCGAGGGAAACATTTGACTTGCATATTCGCCCCGCGGTATCAAAACGCGATTACAAACGCGAACGGCGTGGAAAAGAAACCTTGAGAACTTGAACGAGACGTGCAGATCTATGGGCACGTCCGTAGGCGTAGGCACTCTCGCTCCTTCTTCTTCTTCTTATTTTTTTTTCTTCAACTCTTTGCATCTCACTAGTCACGCTTTCAACGAGTCCGCGGCGTTAATGAGCACGAAAGTGAGTTAAGGAATGGAAAGGTGACGAGGGGGAGAGAAAGGAATATCCTCTGCGAGCGCGACTCCTAATCTTATTCTAATCGGCGCAACTGATGCGTTCGAACCAGAAAGAAAGTAACGATGTTATCTTCAAGAAAAATTAGGCTTGGAAGTTTTGAGTTTTGTTCTTTCCGAATGACGCCGCGCGGGGCATATTCCGGGGGAGTGGAACAAAAACGGCGGCTCTTCGAGTGTAAAGATAGAAAGTGAAAGATGACATTACGTAATACGAATGCATATTATTACATTCTCGTTAATTAATTCGTCCGTCTTTTTGTTCTAAATATACCTGCGGTTTATTTCGATTTTTGGCCGACTTTTCTTTATGGTCGCACTGTGCGATTATTACGTTGCAAGTTGGAATATCAAGTATTACGAGTACAGCGATAAAAGCGGCGCTACCGGTAATTTTAACTAACTCCCGTTCAAATTTTAAACAGCGAAAGTAGAATTTGTAATCTCACCTCGACGTGTGCGTGAGGTGTACAGTTGCTGCGGCTATTCCGCACAACGGACGTCTTGGGGGATTACGATACGCGCGTTCTGTATTTTTAGACTTTCACGAAGAAGAGCAACTTTGACGAAAAATACACACTTGGCGTGAAACGCCTGTCGTGTTTTCCGATTTCTTCGCGATATTCGAAGAATATCCGCCACCACGCTGAAGGCCCGTGTCCACGATGCTAGAACTTGGTCCAAGTTCCAGTTTTGAAAGATGTGTAGCCAGTCAACTTGCAGCTATGCCATAAAAGCTGCAAGTTGATTGGCTACACATTTCTCGGGGCTAGAACTTGGACCAAGTTCTAGCGTCGTGGACACAGTTACTTACAATTAGCTACAATTAATTTATTGTGACGTTAAATTTCCCATTGTGCAATTTTTCGAAATCATGTTACGTTGTAATTGAATTTATACATTTACTATAGGTACAAGCCGCATATATTCCATATGGAAAAGTTACACATTTTATGAAAGAAATTGCCGTACGAAGCTATACCTTCCGGTGTTTCTTCCTCCGCGTGCGCACGAATGCACCATTTACGTTCGAGCGTGAAACATCGAACAGAAAACGGATCGTGCACCGCGGTATTAATTCGCTCGCTTTCCGCGACGTAATAATTCTGGAAAGGATATCATCGTAATCTAGAAGGTGCTGGTAATAGAACCTCTTACCGCATTCCTCGCAGCGATAGTAGATTAATGTTGCAGCGGAGCGGTGCAACTTCTCAGGATCTACGCGCAAATCGAATGTATCTCGAGGCGCGAGCTGCATGGAAGAGATCATTTGAGGGCACGATCTATGCGCATATCGAATACCTGGGAACGACCGCCGGTTTCCTCCCGATATGCTGGAAGGAAGGAGGGGTCCCACCTCCTTCCTTCCAGCCACCCCGGACCCCCCTTGGGCGAGTTGCACTCGCAATGCGCCCCGCTTTAAGCCGCTGCACGCCGCAAAGAAGGAGCGAGCGCGTGTGGCAATTCGATTGCAAAATCGACCGGGAGGTCGTAACAATCCTCTCGTCCGCTCCTCGACGGATCGACGCGGGGCAATTTGGTAGCCGCGAAAAAAATCGCGCCTTAAATTGGAAAACTGGACGCGTAACGGCGGCGGAACTTAGCCGCGTCGCTTTTGGTCCCAGCCGTACAAATTGCCCTGCGAACGTGTGCGTGTCTTGTCGCGGCTTAGCTAACTCTCCTTCTTCTTTGAAATCTCTCTAAATTATTAGACGTTGCAGATATAATATCTTAATAAAAAAATAACTTGTTAAGTACACCTTCACCTCTCGCTCTGAAGCGTTTGGTTCAGCTTTGATTATGGTCGTTTTGAAAATTATTGATTGTCTTTTTATATTCTCCCTCGAGTACGATGAGATACGTGTTTCTAAAAAGAAATTGAGGAATTCGTCTGCTTTGCTCTTGGGAGAATCTGTGATTTGTGAATATTGGTTTAATTATCAAAAAGGTAATCGTTAAACCGGTTCGAAAATGGAAGAACACACCCTATTTTTTTCATTTCGATGGCCGTGCGTCATCGTCCGGCTTCCGAAGTGAAAGCAAACTTGCACTTCACTCGATCGAGAGGCGCCGAG